GCCGTAGCTTGAATGGCACTAAAGCAGGAGTCTCATGCAGCCCCTGTGGCTGCTTCGCGTGACAGACTGATCCAAGGACAAAAACACAATTTAAATTCTCAACCATGAGTAGAGACCGTCTGTAGTGATTGAGCCTGGTACGTCTGCGTGCGGGCGCGCGGAATTCCGACGGTGTGATTTGGCGAATTATCGTGTAAACCTTGACAAGCTTGACTTTCACGTGTCCTTCCCACATGAGATACATTCTAACGTGGAGTGCGTGTGGGCCGCGCGTTTTTTGCGGTATATGCCATGGTTATAAATCCTTACCCTACTCCTGGCCCTACGCCATGCCAAAGTCGTCGTCTTTTCCTGTCCAGATCGACTGAAAGGACAGTTTGGCAGTCCTCAAAATGGCGTCTGGCGAGTCTGCGCAATAGCTGTTAAAATAGCTTCTGTACGTTGAAAATCTTCCGGTTCACGTTCAGAAGCCGGCAGCGAACTGTTTGCCTTCTTTGTAGACTGTTCTTGTTGACTTCTTTGTAGACTGTTCTTGTTGACTTCTTTGTAGACTGTTCTTGTTGACTTCTTTGTAGACTGTTCTTGATGACTTCTTTGTAGGTGTAGGTGTGCCCGATGTGTACACTTCGTGAGAGGTCTGAACCCATCGCCACGCATGAGCACGGATAACACTAGTTTGTGATCGGTCTGGGTGGTATCCAACGGTTGCTCTCTCTATCGACGTAATACTATGTTTTAAGGGTCTAAAGTCCACATGAAAGTTTTACCCCCGGTTCGGATCCACACTTTACCGGTTGAACAGTTCGAATGCGATTATCTTGTAAGTTAGTATTATTCCGGATAGATCCATTTGTACAAGATACAGTCACCGCCGAAGAGATTCGAGACGCCATTCGGGGCGAAGTTAAGATGATAGTAAAAACAACAACGGCCTTGACTTTTCATCATTGAGGTTCACTGACGAATGGGAAACTATATCCCACTGGTACATCAGAGTAATGTAGT